TTTTAAAAAATATATATATATATATATATATATATATATATATATATATATGAAATAAAAGATATCACATCAAACAAGCCTTTTGTTGTTGACATATAAAGTTGATGGTATCATTAAGTGGAATAAAGCCAAACTAGCTGATATTTTTATTAAAGCCCTACTTATATCTAAGTTCTTTCTGTTACTATCTAAGTTGTGAACTTTGAACATTTTTTTTTTTGCCCATCTTGAGGGGGAGTTTTACAACTGGTTAGTTTTTAGTTAACCCATTTTTTTATGGTTCCATCTCTTAGTTTTTTATGCTTGTATATAAGTTTGGAAACTTTGTACATTAAAAATGATTCAATTTCATTTTTACATCAATTTTGGACAAACTTTTCTCTCTTACTTTTCCTCTCGCTCGCACAAGGCCCTGTGTGGTAATAAAAGTGAGAAAACATAAAAATGTTGATACGATAGATAATATGATTTAATAAAATGAAAGAAAAAAATGATAGGTGTTGTCAATGGAGTTATTGAATGTTCGCTTATAATATCACTATTTTGACAAACAATGAACAAGCTTATAAAATAAATTCATTTTATAAGCCCAATAATAATAAAACATAAAACAAATTATATTGAAAACTTTTAAAGAATATATATAGTTAGCATTTCAAGAAAAAGGGAAAAAAATTACACCTAGAATCCACTATTGATCGAAAATATTAAATAGATATCTACTTAATAAGGACGAGATAAAGAGCAGGTAATAATTACTAAAATACTTAGATTTATAAATATTTTTTGAAATTACTAAAAATATTTTTAATTATATAAAAATTAATTTGACATAATTTATTCTTACTATATACACATATTATAGTTATTAATTTTTAATAAAAAATATATGTTCCGAATTTACTTATTTTTACACACGGACATTTTTTAAAAATATATTTTTATTTTTATTTTTATTTTTTAACAATTATTCACATGTACGTGTGGAAACTTTTATATATATAAATTATTAATACTTGCATTAAATGATGTGGATTACCGGAGTGCTATTGCCTACACTTGTCTAATTCTATTGTTATCTCTATATAAATTTATTATTAGTTAAAATTTATTAAAAATTATAAATTAGAAAAGAATCATTAAGTGAAAAGTGAGATTAAAAATTTTTGATTTCTAATTAATTTTAGAAAATAATAAAGAGCATTATAAACTACTAGAATTAATCTAGTAGTAATTAAAGAGTTAAAGCAACATGTATAGAATTTTAAGTTTAAACCTTTTTGTCATTATAATTCTAATATAGATAATATCAAGAGTATTAAAAAAAGTATATGAGAAAATTTTAATTATATATAACTAAAATTTATAATAAACTATATAGAAATAAATATTATATTTAAATATATAAGTTATGTATAAATTTTGTATAAATAAATAATTTTAAACATATAAATTATATTAAAATTATGATAAATAATAATTATTTTAATTATTGATTATTTATTTTAAAATATTAAAATTTAATTTATAAATAAATATGACAAATAAAAATTAAAACTAATAAAAAATTAAAAAAAAAATCTTAAAAACTCTTTTATCATAAAAAAAATCCATGAAAATATTATTGATAAAAAAAAGTTCTAAAAAATATTATCATTTAATAAAGTTCATCATATTTAATATAGATTATTGCAATTTTTATGTTTGAGTTGTATAAAAAATTAGAACTTATAATAATAATAATTAATATTTGAACTTATCCAATACATAAAATAAAAGTTGTTGGCACTCATTAAAACTAATGATTTTCGAATAATAAATTATATATAAATAAATTTTATATTTGAATATATAAATTATATTTAAAATTTATATAAATAAATATTTTAAAATATATAAATAATATTTTTTAATTTATGATAAATAATTTATATTTGACACAAGATTATTTTTAATTATTATTAACTTATTTTGATATTATTAAAGTTTAATTTATAAATAAATATGACAAATAAAAATTAAAATACATTAAAAAAATAAAATAATCTCTAAAAATTCTTTTCTCAAAATTTTTAAAAATATGATTGTTAAAAGTAGTTTCTAAAAATGCTACCGCATAAAATAATAAATTGATGATGTGTTTAATATATATACTGGAATTAATATGTATCATGGTTAATAACCCTTCAGTTTTTTTTTAGTACCGCCTTAAAATGAAAATTCAGGTGAAAATATTAATTATTTAAAAAAAAATCTCAAAACGTGTGGTTTAGCAATAGGGGTTATCCACGCTTAAGCAAGATGAAGGGTTCGACGGTGGATACTCCATGGAGGAGAAAAGAAAAAGTGTATCATGTGTGGCATCAGAGTATCTCGTACCCATTTCACATGACATTTTATTAAAAAAAATAAATAAAAGAATAATAGAAGAAATCATATGCTATCGCGAATTCATCGTATGCAACACAAGTCTACCTAGTTAGCATCAAACACAGACTTGTGTCACATGTGAAGAGTTCACACGGAACTTCCATTCTAATTTTTGCTTCACCCATAAAATTTATTGTAACCTTTGATTGCTCTTTTCTTTTAGTTAGTTGATATTTAAAAATTTTTCAATAAAAATTACATTGAGGACAACATAATTTTGAATTAAAATCTAATTCATATTATCCTTATCCTCTCACATTAAGATCTTATTTAAAGTGCTGGTGGCTTACATTTTACTGACATAAAGTATTATTAAATTGATGAACACACTTGTACGGTTCTACCACCACCATAAAGTAGTTAACCAACAGTAAATCTAGGACCGATGGTGAGGGTACCTTGGCTTCTCCACTGCCATGTTGCCACCAGTAAGAGTGACCTTATTCACCTTATTCATCAACCCATGCTCTTCAATCTTCATCTTTGTCAACAGATCCAATCCAACAAAAACTCCTCAACAGTTCCATTCAACATTATATAATATAATTTGTTGGGTATTTTGAGATATTTCAAAAAATTAATTTATTTATGAGATTATTTTGAATTTGAATTTAAATTTAAATTCAATTTAGTTTATTAATTATAAGTTTTAAAGTTTAATATAAGTTTTAATAAGATATAATAATTTAACTATTGTAGTTTTAATTATTATTAAATTTTCAAAGTTTTGAAATTAATTTTTTTTTAAAATTTTCAAACCACAAATGGTTAGATCTTTATACGTTGGGTATTGCTCTCCTTTTTATTGCTCACTCTCAATTCTTTTTATTCTCTTTTTTAATTAAAAACTTGTTAGTATATTGTATGTCACAAGAGCTTTATTCAGTTCATGATCAAGATATATAAACAATACAATCCACATTTTTCATGGACACCGAATAAAATTTGTGAAAGGTTGGCTGCCTGGGATGCGTCTCTAACCGATAGAGAGCATTTATGAATGAATCGTTGAAATATTAAAATATGTATTCAATCGTTACAAATGATAGTGCTTGAGTGTATCACTTAATTTAAATTGTTAATTCATGAATCATGAATATATTATTTAACATTTGATATGTTGCTTCATGTTAGAAATCGTCTAACTTATTGATTTATTATTTCATTTAATACATGACTTGTAAACACACTGTTTAAGTTAAAAGTTGCATTTTCTTAATGTGTAGTCTATATATAAAAAGTAAGAGGAGCCAAAGTAAAAAATAAATAAATAAATAAATAAATAAAAATAGATATTGTTGTGTTATAAAAAAAATGTAGTAATTGATGTGCTGTCTCAATTCCTTCCTGTCGAAGACAAGTAAACATTGGACTTAGGGGGCGGATTGATTTTAACTAAAAATATTAAAGTCTTATTCTTTAGGGAGCCAGTTGCCCCTCTATCCCTATATGTAATTTCGTCCCATGAACAGTGAATTACTAATTTAGTCGAGGATGTCAAATCATTCTCTAAAATTAACCAAATGAAAAAAAAAGTATAGAATTTATAAATGATCAATGAATATAGTCTTTTTGCTAAACGGTATCATTTAACATTGTCAAAAGTACTGAATTGTCACATTAATGTGTTGAGGTGAAAGCCAAGTAATAATCACACACATATGGTTTGTCACGTATCATGGATGAATTTGATGACCGAATTTTCTTTGATTTGGTGGTGGGTGATGTGGTTTTGATGATTGTTGCTTTTATGTTTGGTGTTGGTGCTAAACGCTAGTAGCCATTTTACCTTTTATTTATTCTAAAGACTAATTTGGCCAATTCCTACAATATCATGAACCAATAATATAAGATTCTATATATCTCTCTATTGCATCTATCATTTTTCCCCCTTCTGCCTCTTTTCTTTGCCAAGGTGTACATACTTCCAAGTATGAAAATAAATTCTACTAAAAATTGAAGTGAAAAATAGTCCAGGTTTATTTATGGAGCAAGTCGTATATATATATATATAACTTTTCAAAACTAGATTTTTGACTAAAGAAAATATCACACGAAGTGAATTTAATTCGTGCAAGCATAGAGAACGAAAATGTTGGCCTGCGGCACCTGCAAACGCAAAGAAAAATTGTCCTAACCCTTTTTAGTCTCGTCCAGGTTAAATTCCCAGTGCAAATCGACAATTATCTTCTCTCTTTCTCTCTCTCTCTCTTTTTTTTTTCCAAACTATTCCCCGATAATAGAAATTTTATCATTTTTTCGTTATGTTTTGAGAGACTAACCTCTTTTGCTGTTTCCAATTCCGTTGGTGACAATTATCTGTCCAGCATAATGGTCTAAATTGTACTTACTTTACTTAAAGAGGTAGGCCAAAACAAGTTTCCCACTTTTGTTTTATTTTCCACCTTAAAGCCATAGAGGAAGGGAAAGAAAACAAGGGAGATGAATGATTGAGATAGACGTTTTGAAGAGATATTCAAACTGCCATCACTTGCTCTCAAATGCATGGACCCCTCTTTTGTCTCCCTAACCCTATAGCTACGAAACTTGCCTACCCTATGCTATACCTCATGCATCCTCAGCCATAAATCCTCCTCTTCTAAGCATCGCTTAAGATTTATAAATTCCTTACATCCTCCTCTACCTCCCCCCACTCCTCTCCTTAATTTGTTTTCCACTAGATTGAGTATAGCCCTAGTTAACAACCCCAAGAATTTCAACCTACACCATCTTCTCACTTAGATGGATCCATCCCATGTTATATTACCAAACTCCTACCTAGCTCTTTTCCTTTGACCATAGGGGAAGAACTCTGAACCCAATCATTTTTCAAACTCACCGTCTTCAATCTGTCTTCTCTAAGCCAGCTAGCTCGCTAGACAATACCAACCAAACCCACCTGAACAACAGTGCCCCAAAGACCACATAATCACACATATATCCCAATTATTAACCACAGTACTACCTTTATATATAAACCCTAATTTTCTTTTTATCTTTAAAAATCAAACTCATTATCAGATAGTACACAACTATTCCAATCATTCACGCACGTTGTTGAATCAACTGAATTATTCATACCACACTCACTCAACCCTAAAATTTATAAACACTCAATTCACACGAATTCTCTTTCATCTTATTTCCATCTCATTTTTTAATCTTTGTCTCTCTTCACTTGTCATCACATCTAACCTTTTTTTATCTATATCTTTTTCTCTTTTTTTCCGCGTAATCCAATATCAGGAGTCTATATATACACATGTCTCTCACCAAACATAAAACACATCTTCTGCACTAAACACACACTCATCCATCCCAACTCCCAAGTCATCCCCAAACCCTAAACCAAACCAGAAGAAAAAGAGAAAGTGCAAGAGTGCAACATCCTCGTAACATCACACGTGCTATTCCTCACCCTTAGAAAGACCATACTATATATATAACATGTCCGCCGCCATGGCCGCCGCAGCCGCCGCCGCCATGTCGGGATACCACAACTCCTCGGAGAGACAAAACCTTGAGGAACCGCAAGCGCCATTCACAGCTGAAGAACAACGAGCGTGCGTGTCTCCTCCTCTGAGCAGGTACGAGTCGCAGAAGCGGCGCGACTGGAAGACGTTCGGGCAGTACCTCCGAAACCACCGGCCACCGCTGAGCCTCTCGCGGTGCAGCGGCGCTCACGTGCTGGAGTTCCTGCGGTACCTGGACCAGTTCGGAAAAACTAAGGTGCACGCGGACACGTGCGCGTACTTCGGGAACCCGCAGGCTCCGGCGCCGTGCACGTGTCCGCTGAAGCAGGCGTGGGGCAGCCTGGACGCGCTGATCGGGCGGCTGCGCGCGGCGTTCGAGGAGAACGGCGGCGCGGCGGAGATGAACCCGTTCGGGACGCGCGCGGTGAGGCTTTACCTGAGGGAGGTGAGGGACGCTCAGGCGAAGGCGAGAGGCATAGCGTATGAGAAGAAGAAACGAAGGAAGGGTCAACAGAACCAAGTGCAGCACCAAAGTGATGCCATGATGATGATGATGAATTATTCGAGTGTTCCTCACCACTTGTTGTTGTCTGATTCGAATGCCACGGCTTCTGCTTCTGATGGGGTTTCCTACTTCTCATCCCAGGATGGCTTTAATTGATGATTTTGTGATCATGTGCTCACTATTATTAGAAGCTTCTCAGGGTAATATCTGATTAATACCAGAGTTTTGTTATATATATGTGTGTGTGTGATTTGGTGGAAAGTTCAAGGATTTCCTTCCTACATTACAGAACTAGCAAAATATGTTAGAACAATGTTATTGTTGTGAAGTAACACCAACTTTGATGGTGTCTAATCATGTAGTTTAAGTGTGAATTTGATTAATAACAACAGTGTTATATATGCACCAGTTTATTCATTTAGAAATGCTATGCTGCTGATCCTTCCTCTAATTTTTACCTAAATTTATTTTTATAATTTTACATTTTAAAATGTAAATTGAGATATTCTAAAGTTACAATTAGTTTCAAGTTGTACAAAAAGCCGAGAAGGAATTATGAAAGCATTGTTTTTTGTCGGGTAGGTATAACTGAAGTTTCATGTAAGATCCACGAAGTTGAAGAGAGATCTACAAATGATTATGTATTGTCGCGAATAGATAGCAGGTTTTTCTTTTTAAAATATTTTCTTTACTTCAATTCAAAAATTTTCTTAAAAAAGGAGGAGTTCAATACTATTCAAACTAATAATTTATTGATAATGATTATAGTCTTTAGTAATTACTAACTATTTATTTGTTCTTTCATCAATAAAAAAATTACAATATCAATAATTACTATTGTTATCATTATAATCTTATAATTTAATTATATTTTTAGTCATTTATTTAATTTTTTATATTTATTTTGATATTTTATTTTTTTTATTTGGATTGATATTGTGATAATAATAATAATAATAATAATTTTATTTTATGATACAATTTTGAATCAATTTTTTATTAATTTGCGACATGAAACTTGAAACATTAGATTTAACTAAATGAAAATTAAGAAATTCAATTAATATTTGAATTCAAAAATATTATAGATATAGTGAAAATTGTATAAAAAATATGTCCCATGAACAATTAGAAATTTTTTTTATAAGCAAAATAAATTAATGGGAGTACAAGGGATACCCCAACTCATTACAAAATACAAAGTCACCTAAACAAAATCCAACGTAATCCTTACAAAAGGTAATCACCAGATTGTAATGTCTACCACCATCACAAAACTAGGACTATAAAATGTCATCTAATAATCAAAAAAGTTCAGTAATTAAAAAATTGTATGAAATTATATTTTAAAAAAATTTAAATTATTTTTAAACTTATTTTTATGTAATTTTTTTATCATGTTTGTAACCTTTTTTTTTATTTAGACTTCAATTGTGTTTAATAATGTTCATATAGGTGAATCTAATGAAATAAATTTTAAATCTTGAGTCAATAAAAAAGTCTAAAAAGTATAATTTAAACATATCTTCTAGAGAAAAAAAAAACTTAAAAGAAACTTCAAACTGCTATTTCTTTTCTTTAATAATGATTATTAATTCGTAACTGGTTATAATTTATAGTTTTGTAAATGAAATTCTATATCAAATCCAATGAGTTTAAAATAAATTTGTAAATAACTATTGTTTTTTGTGTCGATCTAGATATTAATTTGTTCCTATTAACTGACAAATAATTTTATATAAAAACTAATTCTTTTTAAACTGTTTGCATCGATGACAAAGTCTTTTAAATCGTTGTTATGACTTATCTCAGTTGGGAGATTTAGACACACTCTTTTCTTTTCTTATCAATTCAATTTTACGTCTCTCCTCCCAAAATACTTAATTAACCAGGCCACTTTACAGTGCCGGATTTAATTTTTTTTTTTAATACGGGATTTGATTCTTTTAAAGTCAAGAAATTCCACTTTAAAAAATAAAGGACTGTAATTATTATTAATTAAAAAAATTAACAATTAATATATTATAGTTAATTTTAAATTTTATTTTGTATGAATTTGATTTTATCATAATTCTTAATTTTTAATTTTATAATTAACAATTGTAAATACATTTTATCCTTCTAAAATATATCCTACTTTAAAAAACTCAAATTTCTATAGTTTAATATTACAGAGTGATTCTAAAAATTAGAGGGGTTTTTTTTTTGAAAAATTATTTCATCTATTCAATTTATTAGGAGGCAAATTAATGAAGTATTTCATATATAGAGATGTCAAACAGATTGAGCTGACTTGATCCAATCTAACCTACACGAGTCAATTATTATTTTATGATAGACTGGCTTGGTATATATTATTTTTGGACTGTTATTTTTTTGTCTAATTTGACCATGCAGGGCCATCGGGCCAAATTGACTTGATTAAAAAAAATACATTTTATAAAATTAAACCTATTTTTTATAATAAAAATTATAACATGATTAATTGATATTATATATTGTCATGAAACATTATTAGTTATTTTTATACAATTATGAAACACCCTATCACTACAAGTTAATTACAAAAGTTATTTTAGCAATATTTGCACATAAATTATGTTGATTTTGTTTGTCATTCTTTTCCTTAAAGTTGAAAGTCCAACTTGATTATTTTTTTAAATTATATTGTACTGTTTACAATTTAATGCTCAAATAACAATATGATAAATAATAAACAAAGGTTAGAAAGAAAATGTAGCACTATCAACAAATAATAAATTTTGTATTTTCTTTTAAAATTTTGATCATGCTATCATTGGTAGAGGCATTATCCAATGCAAGGGAAAATATTTTTCCATCTATCCTCCACTTCTTAAGAGCTCCAAGCAATCTTCCAAATAATACTAACCTAGTATGCGAACTACTCAATTTACAAAATGAAAGTAACTTACTATTTAACCTCCAATTTAAATCAACATAATAAACTGTCACAGTTATATAGCCTTAAATAATTACAAATACACATACATCATAAGTAAAACATATTGGCAAATGATAAACACACCTCCACTCTCGTATAAACACACCCCTTTTTTAAAAAAATATATAAAAAATATCTAAATTACCCTTAAAAAAAAAGACATAAACTCGTTTAGAATTAATCATGTTGTTATACTTCTCAACATCTTTAGGACATTCCATGGTACAATTTATGATAGTATCATACTCCAGTCATAATCTTTGCAATTTTCCAAAAATATCTAAATTACCCTTAAAAAAAATAATATTCCTAAATTTACACCCCATTCCCCGCACCCCCGTTCCCCGCACTCCCTTCCCCTCACTCCTTTCCCCTCACCCCACACCCCCTTCCCCGCAATATATAATAAATAAGAGGAGCAATATATTGTTGAACTAAAACACAGTCCGCTTGACTGAAAATAATTTACCGGAAAAATATCTAAATTACCCTTAAAAAAAATAATATTCCTAAATTTACACCCCATTCCCCGCACCCCCGTTCCCCGCACTCCCTTCCCCTCACTCCTTTCCCCTCACCCCACACCCCCTTCCCCGCAATATATAATAAATAAGAGGAGCAATATATTGTTGAACTAAAACACAGTCCGCTTGACTGAAAATAATTTACCGGCAATATCTGCAACTTTAACATCGTAGACTTAGAAGGTTATAGTGATGATGTAATAGTAACTGTTTTTTTTAATACTATGTACCGTCAGATTGGATGCATATTGGCACCTTTTCTTTTGATTCTTCTGTAACCGTCCTGACAGAGAGACTGACTTTTCCGGGGAAGATACGGAAAGGAGAAACCATGGAAAAAATGTTACGGTCTCTAGGTTGTTGCCTGTTAGATAATGTTAAATCTGGAATCTGGATAGCTGGTAATTCCCAAGTTAACTTTTGCTCTAGGATTATCCTTGAAATGAATTATGTCACCAATTTATCTCAGTTATGTTTAATTAACTTCATTTATTTGACATGGTTAATTTTTCAGACCTGCAGCTTGTAAGATGCCCGGTTTGTGACCTCAATACGTGCGATGGTAATTTGAATACAATCCGAAGAGCCCTGCATATCCCTATCCCCTTTGTACTGAGATTGCTTGCCTTCTAATTTAGACAAGAAATATAATACTGCCGTGAATATACATCACTGATCACTGTGTTGTACAGGAAGGGGGGGGTGTAGGGGTGCGGGGAAGGGAGGGTGTGGGGTGCGGAGAAGGAGGGTGCGGAGAACGGGAGTATGTGGAAGGGGGTTATAAATTTAGGAATTTTATTTTTTTTAAGGGTAATTTAGACATTTTATATATTTTTTTTTTAAAAAGGGATGTGTTTATAGGAGGTGTGTTTATCATCTGCCAAACATATTTTATTAGGAGTAATAGTTAAAACATTCTTTATTTTTTCAATTTAAAAACACGTTACTACAAACGGTGTAGCCCAACTCTAAATTATTGTAAGCATAAGCAAATACAAAATATATATATATATATATATATATATATATATGAAAGACTATTACTGTATTAGTATTATTATATTTTATTATATTATTTTATATCACATTACAATATTAATTTAAATTATTTTAATTATTAATTTAATAGACTAATTCATAAACTTGTAGACTAGTGAAAAAATAGTTTAATTCTATTTAAGTTATTTTTTCAAGATTCAATCTAACCTTATTTTTACTTGCTAATTTATTAAGTAGAAATTCTAATAAATTTTCTGATTCTCGTACCTTTCCTGTATTACCTCAGTATATCCAAAGTCTTATTGCAATGGAATTGACGTGATTTTGTGGTAAAAAATATTATATTAAATCATACACATAAACCATAAAAGGGATGTGCTTAGGGGTGGCCAAAATAGGCTAGTCTGATTCACCAATAACCTATCAAAAATGGGTCGTGTTGGGTTATCATTGAAAAATGGGTTAGAAATGTTGGTTCATCCTGTCAAAGGGCAAACGGGTGGGTCAGCGAGCTAGCTCGCATACCACTAAAAAATTATAAAAGAAAAATGTATCTTATGTTCAAATTAAAAAACTGCTACGAATAAATAAATATAATCACATAAAATTAAAAATGCATACATATTGTGCATAATATATGTTCAACAAAAATAAATTACAAATTTATAACAAAATTAAATAGAAATTAGTCCACTTAAAATAAAATCAAAATCAAGTTACAAACTTACAAATTACTAATAATCTAAATTTTCTAATAGTTCACAAATGAAACCCAATTACTTATGTGGGTTGGCAGGTTGTGACGGGCCAACTCACCATTTGGCCCCGCTAGTTGGCGGACTTGATGGCTTGACGGGTTGGAATGATGGGTCTGGCCTGTCAATTCTTAGCGAGCCAATGAGTCAATCCACAGGTCACATCCCATTTTGCCAATGAGACAATGAGCCAATGCGCTAAAGGAACTCAAGTGGTTCTTACTTGCTATCGAGTGGTCATTTGTTCAAAGTGAATAAAATCAAGAAATTAAGTTATGTATGTTATATACATCAAGTTATAAATAAATTTATGAAGAGGAACTATTGCTTATTATTGAGTGATTATTTGTTTTTGATAAGTAGCAATTTGACTAAGTTTTTGTTCCCCAATAAAGTACAATATAATGATAATTTTCTTTAAATATATTTTGTATATAATCTTTTTAACTTTGTATATATTTGATAAAATTAATTTATAATTTATAGATCAAGGACTAAAAATTTAAATTTGATAACTTATAAGTTAATTTATGAGTGGGTACGAATGGACTTAAATTGGATTTGTATTATTTTTTTACACGATCCAATTAAATTTAATAGAATCGTCTGGATTGAATGTCTCTAAATTTTTTTTAATAATTTGAGTCAAACCAATTCGACTATAGTTAGATTGGATTGAATCGGATCATCTGAATTATATATCATTTAAAAAAAATAAAAAATAAAAGTTTGAAAAAAAAATAAATTAAGGTTATATTCATTCCCATATTGTATGAATAGTTGTAGCATACCTATACTTAAACTCTAATTGTGATAAATTGAGAGGAAATAAAAGTATAGAACTATAAACATGTAGACTATCATATGATAATTGAAGTGTTATAATATTAAGAATGAATAGAAAGTTTGGTTGGCATCTTCAAATAATAATCCTTTTTTTACTAAGAAATTCTAAATCTTTATAAATTATAATGATTTATTTGTTAGATTGAATTGTATTAAATTTTCAACATCAAAATCTGTAAACTAATTGGAACTTGTTGAATTTGCATTTTTCAATTTGATTCCAACCATTCATCAGTTTTTCAAATTGATCTAGATTCGTGACTAATCCTAAGTTTACTAATAAAATTAAAATATTTAATAAAATTAGTTAATAAATTATCTAATTATTGTAAAATGACACATTTATTTGATAATAAGAAGATAAAAATGATTTCAAGTAAATTAATGATGATAAAAAAAGAGAAAGAAAAAAAAGCAAAGTTATAAAAATAAGTTATAAGTTACTTTAATTAAATTATAGAAATAAGTTATAAGTTTCTAAAATATACCACACAAACTTATTTTAGTCAAATAAGTTGATCAAAGAAAAATTATAAGCTCGTCAAGTGTCTCGCAATCTTAAACCTATTGTTTCCCTTGAAATTAAATTTGTATTCTTTACGCCGTCAAATTGATTATCTCATTTATTTAACTTGTACTTAGAGCATTATGATTTGATATATCTTTTATCCTTCCAAATTGAACTCAACATAACAATATTTATAACAATTCTCGTCGTCTATTCCACCAGCTGAGTTAGATGAACGATGAGAACTATAGTTAAAATTAATATTTAACAACTTCAAGTTGAAAAAAAAAATGTATTTTTAGATAATTACATTAAAATAATTATATGTATAAAAAAAAGTTTTAGAAAGGATAATGAATGCTTTTTAATGTATGACAAAAATTTTAAAAGAGTATTGAATTAATGAAAAAGATTATTCATTAAAAAAAAAAGACTTGAGTATCAAAAAACTTGAGTTTAACGTCAGGAATCTTGCTATCTCGAGCAAATCAGAACACTTCTAGACAGAAATATTTAAAATTGAGGGACAATTAACGTATTGTGTATTTATGAGCGGGTAACATTTAATTTCGAACAAGTTCTTAGTTTGTGGTGTTGAGAATTGGTCCCCATATGTTGAATGGTGGGGAGTATATCCAGTTTTACTGTTTTTGACCCTTTAGTTTATGGTATTTATGCAGCAGAATCAAAGTTTAATGGCATGCACTAATGACCCGCACAAATGAAGCAACAATCATATTTACGCACTCCCATATTATCGTTATTTTTCTCTTTATATGTCTCTCTTCTCATTACATTAATTTCTCGTCATATATTTCACTTCTCTTGTCTCTTCTTATTTCTCACTAGGTAAAATCTATACCAATCATTTTCCCTAATGGAAAGATTCCACTCATTCATGGATAAGGCAGTGAAACTCGTTAGAGCCAAGGCAGTGGGGGAAAAAGTGGGGCAAGCTGCCAAGCTTTCGCATTTAACTTTTTACCGAATAGTTTAGGTAAGCTATCATTTGCAGCAAAATTAATTGATAACCAATCTTGGTTAAGATCATTCTAGTTAAAATAGTTTTACATGAACATTATGTCTTTGCCAAATGATAATCACTATAAACGTTTTCATTCAATATAATTATTCTAATTGGTATATATCAAATATACACTAAGAGATCAGAACAAGTCAACACAGTTCATGGCTAGAGATAAACTTCTTTCGCCTCTGAATTTAATTATAAGATGCCTATCAATTTCAATTTTCAAGGGTTGCAAGGGTTTGTTGATACTGGGCGATATATTACGCACAATTATCTAATAAAAGAAAATTATATTCCGATTAAGTCCAATAAGATGCGCATCTAAGTAACAATTTCAGAACGCACAAAGGATTTACAGAACGCGTGAAAAAATCTCTTGAAAGTCGATATAACTATTTTCTATTTGTAATAAGGTATAAATACACTGCCTGAAATTTTATTTTATTTTATTTTTTCATTTTTGTTAATATATAAATAAAATGTGAATTATTTTGACAATATAATAGCGACCCTAAAAATCATATCAGATAATTTAATCATACATTGATGAATTATATGTTTTGATGTCCTGATACCAATTTGACAGCAGATAGAAGTAGCTTACAGACTTGAACGGGAGTCAATTTTAAATGCTCCAGCCTACGGAAGTACCTAATAGTTTTACAAGCAGCATTTAGCACTAGGCATGTCACACATCAAGCAAACGAGAATTTTGCTTGTTGCATTGCATCGAGACTAAAACATGAAAAGAGAAATAGTATAGGTAATAAAATCACACTCATGCCGAACCTAAAACAAATATGTAAGAACAAATAAATGAAATATGGTTCGGTCCCAACAAGAAAAAAGCAAGGATAGCACACGTTTCTGACTCACCCATACACATATATAGACACCTCAGCCTCGAAGATAATAAATCAGGGTACAAATTTAATGTCTTTGAAATATTCATGTTCAAGAGCGCTCCTGGCAGTAATTCTTTTGCTGGGGTCCAAGCAAAGCATGTTCTGGAATACAATATAAATGCACTACTAAGCACTGGAAAAAAAATCAATAATAATTTGGGGAGGACATAAAACATTTGCATATTAGTATCTAAAAAAGAACTTAATTGCAAAACATGGATTGATATAAAGGATAGAAAAATAATAAAGATGAAGTAAATTGTTACGGGATCTTTCGCTATGCTAAATAAAGTGTTTCAGAAGATTAGTCCTTAAGTATTGACCAAGAGATACTTGGTTTGCCGAAAAAAAAAAGGGACAGGCACGCGCTGTTAACAGATAATACCACCATACAGGTTTTAAGTAAAGCTACTTGGTACAATTGGAGGGAACAACTAAAATTAGAATCATGACTCATAAGTTCCTCATTTGGCATTTGGTAGAATCATGAGTATTACTAATTGGTACAATTTATTAATATCATTAACAAAAGCATGTGAGACTTGATATCCTCATTTGGCATGGTTATCCTTATCAAATTCCAAATAATGAAGAGTTTCTTAGCTATTGGGCTCATCTAGAAGAGAAAGATTTCCATCTAATACTCATTTTACTGTTACTGCTTCAAAATGCATTTTCTTTTGTTTTATCCCGTTTCTCAACAGAACAAAAAGTACTGTCTCCTTACTAATGATGAAAAAATATAACTTTCGGTAACAATATTACATTTATCACCATAATAGAGAAACATTTGACTTTCTTATTATTTAAAAAATATTATACAAGATGTTCCACTTACAGAAAGAAGATCAAGACCAGCTGGCTCAAGATTTGGAACCACAGTTTTCAGGTCCTGCAAAGTCCAAAATAATATTAAATTCTAAATTTTTATGTAAAGAAAAACCCAACTTTCAATTAAAGCAATGTAAAGACAAAACCCATTTAATTACCTTGGGCGGCCACTTGGGAAAGGCTGATTTAAAATCAGGCAATGATGTAACTCCAGGCCATATATCTTCATTTGGTGTACCCATGATTCTTCATACAAGGAACGATGTGTCAAAATATAAGCATGCATTATGTAGCTTTGTTTATTTATTTGTTACATGCCTGTTTGGAAATTGGAAGCAAAAAATATATGGGTTGCATTATATAGATTGCAATACTTACAATATGACAATTTCTGTACTATGAAGTCAAAAGCCACAAATTAATTGGTTGGCTAATGGCTAGAAATATGCAATGATAATTTAAAGGAAACTATGTTTGAAAAAGAGGATGTAGCAGGTACAAAAATTTTAAGCTATGGCTGAAAATCAATAATCACCTACATATTACCATATTATGGCTTCACCAATCACCCCTCAAGTAGTAGTATACTAGTAGTAGAGTATAGATGATACTATGCAAAAATGGTCCATGCCAGTCACGAGAAAAAAAAACAAAAAACGGATGGGAAAAAGTGTAGGAAAGACAAATGTGAATGTATTAGAAAGGAAGCTCTCATTATATATGAAATATCCTATCATGTATATAAATAGGTGGCCCCACATACAAGGCTCCCCTAGTGGGGTCTAAGGAGGGTATATGTATGTAACCTTATCGTTACTAGTGGAGACCGGAGAGGCTATTTCCAGGATTAGAAACTGTGACCTCAGGGTCACAAGGCAGCAACCTTACCATTGTGCCAAGGCTCACCCTGCCTATCAAGTATATATAGAACTGAAATTTTCTAATTATTTTATTTCCTTGACTGACATGGACGCTTGAGGCTTGTGCCCGATTTATCCTTCAACCACCTGCAACAGACCCAATCAAGCTGTGAATCATCCCATGAAATTATCTATAACTGAAACCTAGACGAGGGCCCCAATAGTATTCATAATCAACTTTAAAAGTTGAAACCTACAGTAACCTAGATTAGGGGTCTTCATTGGATTAGGTCAATCCAATAAAACCAACGAACCAAACTGAACTAATTTAATTGGTTCAGTTTTTTGACAAAATCAACTCCAACACAAAACAATATGATGAAACCTGATCTTCATTGGTTCAGCTTTTGGGTTCATATTCTCAGAACTTGTACCAACCCAAAATCAAACCAATTAATAATATATATATACACACACACATATATATATATATAGGAGAAACATCTAGTTAGAGGGCCTTTTTCATAGAGTGAGAGGAATTAATATTGACCCTTAGGTCTAATCATGAATGGTCAAGGGCTCAAGATTAAAAGGTAAAAGTCATGTGTTTTTTTTAAAACATCACATTTAAGTGACCAATGACATTAAATCTTGACCACCTATGTATGATTGTATGGTCCAAATTTATTCCTCCAACTCTCATTAAATTACCCTCTCACTAGATATATCCTCTATATATAATCTTTTCTAGAATTTGAGAAATTCCCCTACCTTTAGCAAATATATACTAAATGGTATTCTAAATTCAATGAGATTTTAAAAGTATATATAGGTTGCCAACCTGATATCCGAACCAACCCAGTGAAACCAAACCAAATTGTTCACTAGGTTGGTTTGGATTGAGTTTGTTGAAAAAAAAAAATTCAAAATCCAAACCAATTGATTTTGATTGGTTTAGATTTTTTCCTCTCTAGAACCAAACCAAACTGATTCATGTATATCCCTACCCTAGATCTTTGAAATAACAATTTTCCTTTGAAAGAACAGGAAACATCTAAGGGTCTTCATAGCAGTTTTTTAAAACACAAGTGATCTCTGAAATTTAGATGAAACTCTTTTAGCTGAAGTTAAACGTACAGATGGGCAAATAAAAATTTGAGGAACATTCTTAGGCCATCAATGACCAAAAGCAGGCATTTGGAAAAGCTTCTACAGAGCTTTATTTGGACTTATGAAAGTGGCTTATGACCTTATAAGCTCTTTTCAGCTCAATTTAATGAGCTTCACAGTCAAACTTGTGAATAAGCTTTCATTTGACTGAGCTTATTGAATATGTACATCATTAAGCTGTTTACCCAAACAAGCCATAAATATCCAAGCAAGACACTCCTTTTTACTTGGCCTAGACTAGTTTATAGATACTCATTTGGAGGGGAAGGGGGTGTTTTAAGATAGAGAGAAAAAAATTGAGTCAAACAGAGTCTGCAAGAATATGGGACAAAGCAGCCTAGTTGGTCAATAATTCAATTACTTGTCAAAACTGAAAAATGAAAACTAAGCACACTATCCTATGAGCCTATATATACACATGTATGACTGCATTTATATACAAGATAATAAGACAAGAAATGCAAAGTAAAGAATTATAAATCCCCTTTTTAGAGAAAGTTATAAAAAGAATCAAATAGTAACATGCATCCTACAAGGCTACAATCGATACAAGAGCTTTCCAATCCACATGCCACCAAAGAGATTCCCTGGAGACCAAAATTCACAGGCTGAAGAATACAAAGGCCATGTAAAGCACATTTTTTTATTGCTAGTCCACAAACATGCATTTTTGCTTAAAGATCAGAGCATTCGGTTCCAAAAATAAAAAGTGGCCAACAGACATCATATTCAGTTCAGCACATGATGGTAACACTTTACCCTCCTCAGAATGGCCAAAAGCTCAGTATTTAATTAAAAGTATTCCTCAATGGCATGCCCAGAACTCAGTAAATATGAGAGTATAGAAAGCAAATCACAAATATAACTAGCTAATGTACAATCTAACACAACTAATGCAAGCTGTGAAAGAGAATATGTTCAAACTAAAAACTATACACTTTGACCACAAGATACCCGACTAAATTCTAGGCTGATCCAAAGACCACACATCAAGTATATAGCAAATCCCTCAAAGGATTTCTGACATTTTTCCTCCCATATCCCCAAACTGGATAACAAAGAATTGACAGAAATTCAACTCCACAAAAACCAAATGGGTATCAAAACTTTGAGAAATGTTAATGTAAAATACAAGCATATGGGACATCACAAAACATGCATATTATTTGCATTGATCCATCAGATTATTACATCAATACTTAACATTCCAAAATATTAAATACTAAAAAAAGTATTTGCAACCTCCCAATCATTAAGATCCACATTAGTTGGAAGAAGCTAGAGACTGCTATGAGAATTTAGGTGGACATTTTTTGTCAAGTTCTCAGCCAACAGAATTTAATATGCCTTACAAAAAACAAAAAAAAATTATGGCAAAACAACAAAAAGGCTATTCACCTGAATATTTTAAACAACTCATCAATCTCAGAGTCCCCAGCAAAAAGAGGACGTTGATTTACCATCTCTGCAAATATGCATCCCACTGACCAAATATCAACTGGAGTAGAATAATGACGGGATCCAAGCAAAATTTCTGGAGCTCTGTACCACAGTGTTACCACCTACAAGAAACCACCAACACTATCACTCAGAAAAGAAAAAAAAAGATGATATGAAGTTTTCAATGTCCATCTACCATTATACCACAAGATTTATGTTTTAAAAGAATCTACTTCCATAAATCTATCAATTTAATAAAATTTTAATATTTTTTTCATTTGAAAAAAAATAAAGACTATACAATGTGGCTATATATATATATATATATATATATACACACACACACACACACATAAACACGTATATATATAGCCACATTGTATTTATATAGCAAAAGGAACAACGAACCTAACAAGTAGCAAGTTATGTGTTTCATAAATTTAAATTTTCAAATTTATAAGACAAGTAACAAGACAGATAATATGAAACAAACCAATAATCTTTCAGAGTTTCAAATGAGGCAATTTCTTTATGTTTAATTTGCAAAATTTTGAAGAAAATCCACTTCTTACGACTCAGATAACTATCACGTGTTATTTAAAGTAAAACAGTTGAAATTAAGAATCCATTATGCAATTTTCTAGTAAAAACAGATGGAATTAACAAGCCTCTAGTCTTCTCACATGACCAAACCACATAACACGATCTTCTATCATCTTCTCCTCAATTTAATAATAAAAAAAATACAGAATGTAGGACAAGAATAAGTAGAAGGCCAGCTGCAAAAACACATTAATGAATTTTAGATCAGGAGAAGAAATAACAAACTACCAATCTAGTCCCCAATATCTGTTTCATTGTTTTAGCATTATAGGGCAGTAACTAAAGTTTGGAGTTCAAAAACATTCAACCTTAAAATGTGCACAACTGATTTCTTTTCTAGTACATGGGCTCATTAATTTCAAATTTAATTGTCTCCATAGTCAGAAGCCAGTAAAAGGTTGCCCACAAACCTCATGTGTAAATGTTCTAACAGGAATTCCAAATGCCCTAGCCAATCCAAAATCTGCAAGCTTTAGTGCATTAGTGCTACGATCTATCAACAAATTCTGTGGTTTTAAGTCACGATGAAGAACTCTATGTGAATGACAGTAAGCAATGCCACAGAGAATTTGGTAAAGGAACATCTGCAGAAAACAACATTTAAAAATTTAATTTCTAAATTAACCGATCCTCTTTGCCAAAATTACCTCATCTTGTTTCGAAACCACAATAAAACATATTCAATTAATGATGCAAGATAAGGTGGAAATAACTAGTCATGATCAAACATACAAACAATGAAAAGGGAAGTTAACAAGAACTGTGGAAAGGAGCCAAAATCTAATGAATTAAAAAGGCTGCATGTCAGTACAACATCTTTATTGTCATACTGCAATGACTTGAACAAAGAAAACAAAGTTTTTCTACTGATTAACTACTTTATATAATATTTAACAAACACAATACCAAACTCCAAAAACAAATAAGAATCATTAACTTATTGACCTAGACCTAGTTTATTTTTTCCATAGAATAGAGATTTCCTCTTTAGCACCTTCAATTTTAATTAGAACTTAACAGCCCAAATCAATATGCTAAAGGTCAAACTTATTCAGTGCATCACTTGTCTTCAAAACAGGAAACTATTATGGACAAAGTCATACCAATTGACTGCTATCCACGTAACTGGTAATTCATCACAAAAATCATGAGACAAGCATAATATGTATGGACCTGCATTTTTGACAAGCTATAGTTATGTTGAAACCATATTTAATCATCATTGGCTCTCATATTTGCTTTATTTAATTTATGCAAAGACAAGTAAGAGGATGAGAGAACCAGGCATTTGGTGGCAAAGTTGTATTTCTGGATCTCTTATAATTATAAGTCTAGTTACAAAAAGTTCAAAAATCTACAAAGGAAAGAAGAGAAGAGAAGTCGCACTTTTACTTGTCGTAGATCTTTTGCAAATTCTGGAGATGAGTCCATGTGCTTCTTTAGATCCAAGTCAAGGTACTCAAAAACCAGATACAAACGCTTCTCACTGTGTACTACATCCTGCAACCTGACCTCCACACATATGCCAATGATAATAAGAAAGTGACTAAAAAGACAAATAACATTAGGACAATAATGTATGAACTATATGAATCAACATAATTAAATGAACTAAAGTCAACAGGTTTTCTTGGGCCATTCAATCCTAATTTTGAATTTTGATGCATACATAACACCCCACAAGCATGTCTTTAGTAGAACTTACAAAACAGTGCAGACAGAATCTGTCACTTGGGAGCATTATGCTGGGATAGTGAAAATCATAGGGACATTAAGTATGGGTTTTTATTGACATACACAGCTGCACTTGGAAATGAAAATGTTCACACATCATTGGTGCATCCAAATGTCACATACACAAACAATTCACAGAACAGCTATAGGGTTTGTAAGAAAATATATCAGACAGCTTTACCAGTTGACCTAAAATTACCATTTTGAACATATTTAGAGTAACGAAAACAGGTTGTCACAAGACGGACAAAACTGAAGAATATGAACAACACGATAATGGCAACATTTTCTATAATGCAACGTTGAAGTGATCAAGAAAATACACAGATTGTTCGATTAATAAACGCATAAACCATCAGCAACATCATCCAACAAGAGTTTAACCATGTCGAAATAATCACCGTGCCCTACCTAGCTTCTGTCATCTACTATTATTTAAATGCCTAAACATTGGTGTTCTATGCAGAATCAAATACCAAACAAAACGAAGACCGTGTTGAGACATTGAGGCTCACACTGAGCATTACGACCACATAATATTCTTGCTAGTTACACGAATTGCATAATTAACGAGCAACGCATTCCTGAGAAACAGTTAGCAGAAATACCTAACAATGTTCCTGTGCTGCATTTCTTTCAAGAGAGAAATCTCCCGAATGGCGGTGCTGGGAACGCCCTCGTCTTCCTGCTCGAGGCGAATCTTCTTCAATGCGATGGTCTCGTTGGTGACGCGGTCACGAGCCTTGTAAACGACGCCGTAGGTGCCTTCACCTATCTTCTCAACCTTCTCGTACTGCAAAAATCCACAAAACGCAGACATACATATACAGAGCGTAGAGGGAAAGAGTCGGCGGAAATATA